AATTTCTTACCCCATCCCTTGGGGTTCTTAGGCACCATGTGTGCTTCCAAAAGGATCTTGGGGCTTGAGAATACCACAAGGTTGAAAATAAAACCCTTGTTTGAGCCTTGAGGATCATACCATTCCTCTTCAGAATTAAACTAAGATACATTGATCCCTTGCTTAGAACCAATGTTATGCACAAATGATGATGCAAATAATATGAAACATAAGTCAAGAGATTAAGAAAAGATGAGGCAAATTTTGGGGTGTTACACCTGTTGAAGAGGTTGTTGTTGCCTTTGCTAATACGGTTGTTGATTTGGCTGGCTTTGAGCAGCCTGTGGTTGATTGGTCAGAGTCGGCGTTGGTTGACAACAGGAGATACTACTGCCACCTGCCGAGGTTGATATCTTCGCCTTTGTTTACCCTGAGAGATATTACTAATATCTCGCTCTTTCTTCTTTTGAGAATTAAATGTGTATATTAGGGTGTGTCCGGAGATACATCCCCAAAAATTGAGGATACTTTTTTAATTTCGCATGGTGTCTAATAGACATATATGGTGCAATAAATAATTCCCTTGCCAAAATAAGATAATTACTTTGAAGGGAACCCAATTTTTTCAATCAAGCAATAAGACAATCTCCGGACGCACCTTTTTTTTACTTAACGTTGGTTTTTTCCGGAGCTACATCTACGGAATGTTTTCGTTTATACAGCTTCGGAACAAATCAGAATACATTCACGCCAGAGTCCCTTCTCCTCCCTCATTCTTCATTTTTCAACTTCTCAGTCTCGAACTCTCCAAACTCTCTCAATCCTCAAAAAAAAAATTTCCACCAAACTTAATTATTTTCAATCAAGTTCGACAATGAGCATTCATCTCAATGATCAAGACACTCCAAATCATTCAAAGCTCGATATAATCGGTAAGTTTTCGTGTTTCCAAGTTATTTTCGAGTATTTCCCATAAACAGGTTAGAATATAGCTTTAGGGGTATAAATCGTTAGATAGTTTTAGAAGCATAGTTTAGAGACAATGTAGGTATTATCTGTTGGTTGAAATGGACGATCTGGGCTTCAAAAAACCGATTTTAATGGGAGGGGGATGTCATTGACGTTATTGTTGGAGTTACAGGAAGTTTCGTAGCTACATTTACGGAATAAATTAACGTTACGGCATTTCCGGAGATGCAGCTCCGAAACAAATCTAACTTTCTGAATTTTGGATTTTTCTGCATGTATACATCCAGAAGTAAAAAAAAATTAATTTTCTTTTTCTTTTTTGTTCTTTAATTTATTTATATCTATTTTTTATTGGTTATACCTTGCAGACATTATGGCAGACAGCGAAGATAGATTGCGACTTGGACGGGTTTCACAACATGCATCTGTGAGACACGAGCGGAACCAGGCCACCGTTACCGAGCCCGATACAGTTGAGGCACATATTTCTTCATCACATGCCCAATACATTCCCTCGAACTCGTACCCCACCCCATCATCCACTTTTTCATCCCGGAGGCATCAGGATTCAGCTGAGGGTTCATCACAGGCCCTGTCCTCCCGCAGGCCTCATCGGGATACTCCTAGTTCTCCTCCTGATGATTTGGTGCCACCTCTAGAGGGTGATGACCCACCACTAGAGGATGCTAGTGACGACGACGATGATGATCCTGAGGGTTTCCTAGGGGGTCCCTCAGATATGTCCTTGCTGATATGGTACGTCGACCATACTGCCAGACATGTCGAGATGGAGAGGTAACATTACTCATATTGTTTCTTTTGTTTTATTGGAAATTTATAATTTGTACCATTGTTTCTTATTAACATTGTTTCTTATATATTGAAATTTCCAGACTCGTCAGCCGCAGAAGTTCTATAACCATGGGCAAAAAATATTATCTTTGGAGCAGCCACAAGAGGCTTAGTTCCAGGATGTCAGTGTCGCCTCTAGTTTGAAGGACCTTTGTGAGATCGGTTACAGGTTGATCCACAACGGGATGTTGATGGGCTTTACGAAGAGATGGCACCCTGAGACGTCCTTCTTCCATTTATCGCATGGCGAACTCACGATCACACTAGACAATATCACCTGTCTGCTACATATACTGATTAGGGGTAACCTCCCCCGTCATGGTAGGATGACGAAGGAGGATGCGAGAGAGATGTTGGTCAAGGAGATTGGGGCTGATCCACTGGATACAGTGGAGGAGGTGGATAAGACCAGAAGGGCTCATGTCAGGTTCTCCTTTCTCACCCGTAGATTTGGTGAGGCGCTTGTTGCTGCACGCCAGGCAGATAGTGATCCAACTGAGGTTGAGATACACAGGCAGTGTGTGCTGAGATGTTATTTTCTATTTTTAGTCGGCACTCAGCTATTTATGGATACTTCCTCCATATATACGGATGTCGCTTACCTGAGGTACTTTTTGGATTTCATACGAATCCATGAGTACAACTGGGGGCGGCTACCCTAGCTTACACGTATTTGAGGATGGAAGAGGGATACCTGTGGAAGACCAGGACTGTGGCAGGGAGCGTGGCACTACTTGTGGTAATAATCTTATATCCTTCAACTTGTTTTCATTTCTTTTCATTCTATATTCGAGATAATGCTTGATCCTGATATTTTTTATTTTCATTTCAGGCTTGGATATTCCAACACTTTTCCATGATCGCCGGGTGGGGGAGTGTACCTGATTACACATAGCATATGTCGTGTGTCCGTGCCCTTACAAAGTCTATCTCGATCGTCTGGCTGCTGAGGACATCCGGTACGACGGTTATGCTGATCACCGTGTGACGCGCCCGTTTGACGACATCTCCCTATTCTCAGGATGGTTGGCATGCAGTTCGACCATCATTGTTCCATATTTTCCCGAGCGCGTCATGCGACAGTTTGGCTACACTCAGAATATTCTCAGACACCCAGTTGTCTCCGTTCCTCTCGACTTGACCCGTATGCAGATAGAGGAGATATATGTCAACTATCAGAGGCACATGGTACCTGACGAGGCTCGGTCGACCTGAGCGTCGATAGACTGGAGTTGCGTTGATGACTACATCATGTGGTTCTTCACCATCTCACACCCCTACATGGTGCCCACTGCCAAGGGATCACCATCCAGACTAGCTCATCAGGAGATCTTAGAGAAGCAGCAGATTCAGTTGGATCACACTCAAGATGTCCTGCCTCGCTGTCGTCAGATAGTAGAGATGGGGAGGGCAAGCATTGTCGTCGATTTCTTCCCTGAGGGGTCTGACCACAGGCGTGTATTGGATGGCATCATTGTGGTGGCAGCAGGGGCACTTATGTACCGCAGGCATCGCGCCAGGATGGGTGGGATCGATGGCCGAGGACGTAGACCGAGTGGTCGAGGAGGCAGGAGAGGCAGACGGGGCGGCAGAGACGGGGCGGTCAGGCACACACAGTAGTGACTGTGATGTTTTTTTGATGTACTATATTTTTATGACATTATTGTACCATATTACTTCTTATATATATCATATTATTTTATTTACGGATGTATGTCATTTTATATTCATCTGCAACAATTAATTCTCATCTGCGACCAACAAAACTTAATTTTTTTTAAAAACCTGTTCTGATAAGATTTCGGAATTGCATCTACAGAACTTTTTCTGTAGATGCATCTTCGGAAACATCCAGCGTAAAGAAAAAAATGGTGCGTTCGGATATGTATCTCCGGAAGTAGGAAGTATAAAAAGAATTTCGCTAAATATCTAAGAGTATCAAAGAATGGATTAAAAAATTCTCTTTAATTTTCTTTGAATCCCCAGCAACAATGTTCCCCTGAGACAAACCAAACTTATCCAAAACTTGGTGGAGATTGTCTACAAGCTCAAGGTCTCAATTTGAATGTTTTTTTTTTTAGTAAAATTAATTTCAACTCAAAATCATTTTAATTTGTAAGTTTCTAGTTTGAATATAATTTTCAATTTACTTTCAATAAAAATCAATTTTATAAAATTAATTTATTTAAATGTATTCATATCTATATACTAATAACTATTTGACTAAAAAAATCTAATTTGTATCACCACAGAACAAGCACATACTCAAATTTCACACCACATTATTAGTACTTTTTTATTCACAACACATCAATTTCACACCATACCTCATCTTTAGAACTCATTGGTTAGAGGCTTTTCCCACATAATCTTGCCCCTTCCAATTAACCGACCCTAACAAGCAACAGACAAATCTCTCAATGTCTAAGCCATTGGGTCCTTCAAATGTGGGGACTTAAATATAGCCATGAAAAAGACTTCAAAACTTGTGCTTTACCTTTTTAGTTTTTGTTGCATTCTATTACCTCTTCTCTTACATTAATATGAAGAAAAAAAAATATTTATATTTATTGAAGAATCAATATATTTGGATTATATGTATCAGAGAGGGTAATTTTCAATTCTAGTTGAAGTGATGAAATGGCACATTTACTATAAGTTATTAAGCAAAATAACTCTGCAAAATTGCTTCTAGAGTAAGTTGATTCCAAAAGAAATCAACTATATCCTCAAGTCTCATATTTGTGCTTTGTGATCATAATTCATATAAGTTTATGTTTGATAACATGGTGCTCGTTAAAAGTTTTTTCACCGCAATTTTGAGATGCTGGTATGTACAGCTTCTGTCTCACCATAATTTTCAATTTTTCCAAACAAACAATGAACAAAACAGAAGAAGCAACTATTAAACACCACCAATACATTAGTGAACAAATCACAAAAACAGAATCAACATGTTTTCTTTAATTCTGAGATATTTATACAACGATAATTATGAGCCTCGAATTTACATTTACCACTGGAGCTTTGAGCAAAACTAGCAGGTAGCGACCGCAATGTTACTACCACAAGAGGTTTTCTGTGCGCAAATATGCTATACAGGAAACTTCTTGGAATGTTTTCAAAAAAACATAAAACAAATCCAAAAAACTAACTGTATATTATATATAGTTATAGCTGAGTATGTTCTCTTCTATACACTATATATGGCTTTTTATGGGACTTGACTTCCAAACCACAAGCGACTTCAGAAATTCCATCACCTGCAAAAACAATATCATTGTAAATATGACAAGTCATGATAGCGCAGTAATCGTAAATATGTACAAACTCAGTTTGAATGTGAGTTACCTCAGACGGATCCCGAAGAGAGTAAATTGCATTGCTTTCCTTTGGTGCGGAAGAGACTAAAATCCCATAACCTTTATTTCCCTCTCTCAAAACCTGTTACAGTTTATCTCGTAATCAGTAAAAGTTAAACTAGAAGCAAACAAGTGGAAGCCACAACCTCGGCTCGCTACACGCTTGATATTATTACCTTAAATGCATCTTCATCCGTTCGATCATCGCCAATATATATAGGAAGCACATCGTCACAATTGTTAAGTCCTGAAAACAATATTTCTCATGTCATTTACTGCACAAAACAAAAAGCTCTGGAGAAACAAACCGTATACTAAAGAAATGGAAAATGAACTCACCAAGTGACTCGAGTAAAAACGTGACGGCTTTTCCCTTATCCCAGTTAATCACAGGCCGGACCTCTAAAACCTACACAAGATAAAACAAACTTTTAGAAGAACTGCAATAATTGATTGTTCTAAAGGAGTCAAAAAGTAGGCTTTTACCTTGCGACCGTGAGTTAACCGCAAACGTGGAAAGCCCTTGAGAACATCATTAACTCGTCTCCCCACCAAATCCCAATTCTATATATTAAATTGAAAAACATACAAACATAACATGTAATAAGTTGATGAAAGGGGTAATACAATAATCAATGTTGCAGAAAATTTATTGAATATAAGAACGGAAGAGGCTATACCTTCTCGTCTACATTGCGGTAATGAACTGACACACAAAATTTATTGTTCTCAATTTTTGATCCTACGATGTCCTTTGTACAATCAATAAGAGACTTCAGTACCTGCCAAAACACAAATCGGTCAGGATATGTAACATTCCAATAACAAAGGAATATATAGAAAAATGATTCGTCGTATTTCCCGAATATCCACCTCGTTAATCATAGGAAGGAATTCAGCAGCAGGTTGGAATAAATTAACCTTTTTTCCCTGTAATTTTGAAGTTCATAAGAGAGGTTAATATTAAGAAACTCGAACAGATTCATAATTGAATGAGAGGTAGAAACTTTGAAGTTTAACCGCAGTACCTGCTTATGCGATACAGATAGAGATTGTCTAACAGGACCGATTATGTCCATTCCATGACTACCAGCATAATAGAGTTCTGTTAGTCCTACAAATTCATGCACCTGAACCAATAGAGGGGAGTAAAAAAGTTAGAATCATAACTAATAACCTCCGAGGAGCCTTGTCGTTAGCAAGATTTGAGGCCTGCTCTGGCCCTGGTGAGCTCCCGAGACTTCAACTCACCAAACTTTTCGTTACCAAAAGAAAATTACGGGAAAATAAGGTGTGCTAGATAGAATTATTTTACTACCTTGTCACGACTTCTTCCACTAATTATTGCGGTTGGAAAATACTCAGCCACCTTTTTAACAGCAGCGCGCATCTGCAGAATTTACATAATCAGAAAACGGGTAGGAAGAATAGAAGTTATGGACGGTAAAATGGATGAGAATATCACATCACATACATTCTCCGACATGAAAGCACAGTCAGGGTTATCAACAATTGGTGAAAGAGTTCCATCATAGTCCAAAAACAATGCAATTCTTTTGCCTTTTGCGTAGTTCGTAATTTGATCAAAAGATGAAAGCGCTGAAGGATATTTTAGCTGCAAAATTAACAAAATTAAAGGCAACATAAAAACTGTAAACTCAGATATTAATCAAAAAAGGGGAGTATGTAATACCAGCCAGTTAAAATAAGGATCGGTTTCAGATGATGCAAGCCCGTGATTAACATCCTTTGTTATATTCTTCGGTGGAGGTGAAGATGATTTCATGGCATCCAACCAATTGCAAGAAAGAACATCATCGAGAATTCCCGTCTTCTTCCTTGGGATATTCAACAGCATACCGTGTGAAAACGTTGCACCGGTATGGGAATAAGGCAACAAACTTGAATGCACGTGTAGCCTAGAATTTGTTATCGGAGCAGTATCCGTGAGAACAGGAGTATGATTCGAATTCATGTCCATAGGATCCAGGTTTCACAAGCCAACTCACACGTAGAAGCGATAATGTAAGAAGAAACTAATATTTTATCAGACTTCCGCTTCACCCAACTCTTTTATCGATAAAAAACCACCTTTTCAATGTTTTCTTGTCACTACTCTTGGGGTAGCAGTCCATCAACCGTTGAGCTCCTGAAATATCGATCATATCATAGATTTTAGATTAAAGTCGTGTTGTCAATCATGAATCACGAAAAATAGCAATATGTTCAAATTCCGCTACGATAAAGCTGCTGATATTCGACAACTTTAGATTAAAATCACAGAATACCGAGTGACAGAATAAACGAAATCAAGTTTGAGTCCACCTTTTTGACTTCCTATCAACTATGAGAATGATAAATGAGTTACAAATAAGAACCAGCAAACGTGATTTTTTAAAGTTAAAAATAAATGTTGAGTTCTAAATGGAAATGGAAAAAAAAAAAAAAAACAGCTTGCATGTCCAACGGATGTGAGAACAAACAGTGTGGCGATAATGACTCAGTCAACATAAATTCAATAAAATCAAAGATGCTATAAATATTACACTGTAAAACACATGAAGCAACCTGAAGCAAAACCAGGGAGCATGGAGAGAGAAGTAAGGGAGAGACAACACTAATAACTTCAGTTAACAAAAGCATAACAAAGTATGATATTTTATTAGCCATTTATAACAATAAAAGCGGTAAAATTTAAAAAGTGAAAAGTAAAAAAGGAAGGATTCTTCCAATTATTGATTGGTCTAAAAATTCAGTTCACTAAAATCCAAATAAAGAGGCTTATCCTACTTGGAGTGACATAAAGATATGAAACACACAAAGTACAAGTTGGCGTTAATTGACAACTATACATTATTGAGGTTGGCTTTGAGCTATGATTGAGTAATTTACGAGTCGTAGGATCATGTAAATTCAGGTACTAGTATGAGAAAAGAATGACAAAGAAAAAGCATCTTTAAAAAAATCTGTACTACAAAGATGAACACTTTTGTTTTCTTTTAGCAATTGTGCTTAACAATGGAAACCATATATCAAAGGAAAAAAAGGAACTTAACAACTTTGGTATTGTATCCTCAATTATTAATTATTAATTATAGAACTGTACACCACAACAGCTGCTAAAAAACAAGGACTAGTATAGTTTTCATATCATGTATAGTATGATTATCACCAGTGTAGTCAAGATCGAGTAATGGATTGTAAGATCATACGGTCTTACGTGTTAAGGTGTTAAGGTGTTAAGGATGCCTGAGAGTGCTACAATCAGAGAAAGATAATTTTCGTCGGTAGCGTGGTTTAGATAAAGCTTTTTGAAGCAACATCGTAAAAAAAAAGGTGTTTGGCTTTTTTGGTCTGAATTATAATTTTCGTGTTTTTGTGTATATGTGCGTACATATACGTATGAAATTACTATTTTTCCCTTTGGTACGATCTTACGTGCCGTGCTAACGATCCAAATTTACGATCTTTCACAAGCCGGCTGATCTTACTTAAGATCTAGTACTTGACTACACATTAACACGAAGAGACACAAAATACATAAATAAAAGAAATATAAGGCCCTTCTCGGATATTACTAAAAAAATTTCAACTTAATAGATTAAAATCCAATTTATCAGAGACAAACTAAGCATAACAGGTAAATAACCTGAAGCAGAATAAATTTGAGGACAGCCAAAGTACTAAAAGAATCACAAATAAAAAACAAAACGACGATGGAGGAAAATAATTTTTGAACTTCGAGAATTCGTTAATGAAAACAACTAAACAAATATTGATTTTCTGCATAATGTAAAGTAGTACTACCCCACCAAGTGGACACAGAAAAGAAAAACCAAACCATATACAACCATACAACAAGGGCCTACAAAGCATGGAAGTTAATAATAGATATGGACCCCTAACAAATTCAATAAAGATTCTTTAATTAAATACGCAAAATGACAATAGAATAACAATAAAACATTGATATACGGAATAAAAAAGTTGTCTAAACTTTGTATACCATCAATCCTTCATAATTAAACTCTAGAGAACAAGTGAATACCGGTAAATTGAACAATCAATGATGAAGACTTCATAATTTGACTTTATATTCTCATTTTTCTTTATATTAACATGATGGAGACAACTAACAATTAGACTCAATATAATCAAAGTGTGAAAACAAATAACATCACATCAGCTTAATCAAAAACAGCTCCTAGGCAAAACTGAATTAACCAATCCAATAACTGAATTAACCAATCACACAGCTATTGGTCAAAGTAGATAATTATACAATTAGGAAGAAAATTAGATGATTCTTCAATCAAATTAAAATTTATATCATAACATGGCTTACAGAACCAGACCTGTGTAAGTTAGTCACGGTTGAACCGTGACAAAATGCTTTATTTAAAAATGGTTTAAACATGACAAATATTTTCGTCTTTGCACGCCCTTAAAGACAGCTTTGTGGCATAGATTATGACATTTCCTAAACCTTTTAGGATACTAATATGAAATTGACTAATCATTAAATATTAAAGGTAACACGAAACATTCACAAGTCAAAAAGGGGCACCAACCCTTTGAATGTTGAAGAAATTAACCAATCAGGACTAAACAAAACACAACATTAAACAAATTTGAAGCCAAATTACATAATAATCTTCTCATAAGAAACAAAATCAAACATATATGATTATGATATGATATAACTTTTTGAGGTATGAGAAAAAGGGGAGATAAAAAAGAGAAAGAAACAATATCATACCTAAAAAACGAGCTCCAACCAAGGGAAGAAAGAAACGAGATTGGTCATCAATCAATCTTCACAATGCAATTTCAAGTTTGGTTAATCTTTAAACCCCGAGATAAATCCAATTAAAGGGTCACGGAAAAATGCAATTTTTTTTAGTTAGGTTGCCGAAAAATAGAAAACCCAGAAAAAGACAAAAGGGGAAAATGCGTTTTGGGAATGAAATTATTGGCAACCAAACAAGCACAGAGAGAGAGAGAAAGAGAAAGAAGGTAATGTGAGGTGTTGAGCGAGAAACAAGGGAAGAGGAGAAATGGTGTGAGCTGTGAAAAGGGTGGAGAGAGCGGCGAGAAGAGGGAAGGAAAGGATGGAGGAAAATGGGGGATTGGGTATTTATAGGGTTTTGAGAATCACCCAAACGTGCTTTACAAGGAAACAAACCTTCATCGGTTGTTGAATTAGGAAACACCACCAATAAAAATTAATTCAAAATTCAACCTCAACGTCTAAAATAAATGAATAACCACAACCTCAAAATCATCAATTTGATACCCATTCTCATTCACGCGCCTATATAATATGAGAAGCATTTTACTAGTATTTTTTTTTAAATAAAGTGTTACGGATTGGCGGTACCTTAAATGATAAATAGGATTAATTATTTGTTTAAAGATATATCTACGAAAGAGTTGAGGTTAAGTGTACTTATTATTAGATATGATTTCACATACTCTTGCATTTCACGCTAGAAAATGTGGGATGGTTCATACTGTCTCCCATATATATTGGTATTTATGATATGTCTGCATGTACATTTTTAATCATAACTTATTATTTTTTTTGGATTTGTTGACTGATTTAGGCGTTAGAGTGATGACCTTGCAGGTTATCCCCTATGTTAGTTTCAGGATCTCAAATTCATCATTTCTGGTTCTTTAAACGGAATAGTGACACTGTCTATGGGAATTGACTTCTGATTCTTGCCAATTTCGTAACCAAATCCCTCTGATTTAAAAAGTGTGAGCTGCTACAATGAGTTTACTCGAAGAAGATGATAAAGATTGATCCAGCTGACAAAGATATCACAGGTTTCTCATCCTCAAGATGCTTCCATTTCCTCTTCGTTGATTAAATCAACGGCGGATCATCTAGCAAGAATGAAATCCCACTATGAAGCTCCTTCAACTCACTGATGGTAAATGAGAGGCATGAAGATGAGATACTTATTTTAGGGTTTTAAGACCACGAAAAGTGGATAAAACTCTTAATGTGACACCTCCATTGGTCGTTACTGCCACCATAGCAAACCATACAGTATCTGGAATCTTCATTGACAACGGGAGCTCTTGCGATCTGGTGTAGATTGAATTCTTTTTGAGATTAGGGTTACGTGATTGAGATTTAAAGGTATTTGAAGGCAGGAGTCTGTTGTGGATATATGTGCTTACAGGTGTGGAGTTTGTAACAAACTTTTGATTTGTTTTTTATGTTGCCAACGCTCTTAAAAGAAGTCTTCTTCGGCCTTGTTTTTCAAGATTTTTGGTTTAGATGATATCATCTGATGTGTTAATCAACTGATTGTGTTTGACAAGTTGATGATCAAGTGATAATCATGTTTGACATGTTGACTAAGTGAAGGTTTATGAAGATCAAGATGAAATATGAAGATCATTTGATGCAGTGATTAAGTATATGTGCTTGAATATTAAAGTTGTGATTGATCAAGTTGTATTGTAGTAATCAAGATTGTAATGCTAGGATATCAAGTTATTTGTGTCTATTGTGAAAACAATACCTCATGTCAAGCGTCACTCGATGAAGACAGTGAAGATTTCTGATCAAGCAGATTTTCTGATGGTAGATATTATCATGAAGAGTCATCTCAAGCTTCATCAAGAGAAGAATCGTGATTTCAAATAAATGGTAAATTCAAAGATAATATGGCAAGGAACCAGAAGCTTCAAAATTAGGAAAAAAACAGGAAGTGTGAAAGCTCATTTATCTGTGTTGAGTGATTAGCTTTTGTAAAGGTTAAGACTAACTCTCGATTTTACTAAGCAAAATCACACACGCACTTAAACCTCTTAAAAAAGTCTCTTTTTTATAAAATCGCCTAAAAATGATTTAAAAGCATAACCAATTGATTAGGGAACTGTTTGATCAATTAGAAGCATGGTTTACAAAGGGATAATCGATTAGGCTTTTAGGATATTTGACTATTTCATTTTGTAACGCCT